AGAAGCCAGAAGGTGGCGTTTGTCACAGAGCGACACTCAAACAGCTGCTGAATTCATTAGGCCAGAGGTGGACAATCTTATCCGCAAAGGGCCAGTGTGTATGCGGGTTTTCGCTGCAACTCCCTAAATAGATTACTAATTAGAGGACTGATTGGCTGAATAGTCCTCACACCTGGGTTTGAACAGCTGACCTACAGGTTATCCCAAAAACCTGCATACACACCGGCCCTCTGTGGATAAGACTGGCCACCCCTGCATTAGGCTATCCATGGCGAACAGGGCTAAACTGAGGATAAAAGCAAAGCGTCAAGGAAACATTATCACAGATATCCCACCCACCCCCCGGAATACCAGTCTTACTGGAGGTCACAGTGTAGGCCTTCCCAGGCTAGTCCAGTAGATGCCCAGATTAGCCGTCACTTCTGAGAGAACGCCAACCCGGCCCATTTGCAGAGCCGCTCTCTGCCGTAATTATCTAGAACCTTGTGTTCCTCACTGCTCTGATCCTCCTCCCGCCTTCCCAGAAACCCCTGTCGCTATGGGATTACGGGCTCTTGAACACACATACACTGATCTGGGGGGGGGGAAAGCAGCACATCCCTGATTGGGGGAGGAGGGGCAGCGGGGAACAGTGGGGGCTGCACCACTGCAGCTCCTGATCTAACAGTTGCACGCCGGCGGGAGCGTCCTGCGTTGCTCGTTTGGGGCGACACACTGCAAAACAAGTGCGGGGGTGGAGAACAGTAAGCCGATACACACATCTGAGCGAGCTCAGCCCAAACAAAAAGAATACGGCAGGTCAATAAATGCGTTCGGGGGAGTGACTGATGCAGTCATTTCAGGCACTCAGCCGAGTCCTCTGCGAACTTCTGCTCCACCTTCTTGCGTCTTCGCTTTCCTCACAAGCAATTATACGATGCAGCCCGTTAAATGTAGGGTAAGACAAAAATCGATCCTGTCCCCACGGTTCCCAGCCGGCCGGGGCGCACACGAGCAGCCCAGAGAAGTCAGACGGTATATGGCGAAAAATAATGATCGATTTAATAACCATAGAAAATTGTTAAGCTGGGGCTGAAGATTAAATTTCACCTCAAACCCTGAAGACGCCAAATCGACGTGCGGGGCGTTAAAATGGAGTGTTGAATTTGCAGCATGGGCGCAAACGGGGCCATTTCACGGGCAAGCCAAACACGAAGAGTTCCAAAGTACCATAACAGCTACGAAAATCTGACTGAAAGGCACTTATTTACTCGCTTTGCGGAAGCTCAAATCACAAGACGCCGCTTTAATGATGCATGAAACTAATCAGATGCTGGAGCTGATCTAGTGATCGACAAAGCTTTGGATGAACGGGTCCTCATCTGTACCGCTAAGCTACAAGACGCGGCCGTTAGAGGTCTGAGTGACCGCTGGAACACTCACGTACCGTGGTCCACCAGGACTGGTTGCGTTATCGACAGCTTTGGCGCCAACGGTAACGGGCGATTTTGAGGAAAGTCAGACCGAAGTAACTGAGGAGATGGACGTCACACAGGCATTAATTGGTGAGAAACTTGAAAATCTGGAGGATCTCTGCCTCGGAGAAGCGAGGCCGTTCACCGCAGCCACCACCCGTGAGAGAGAAAGAAAAAAAGAGAAACAGCCGCCTGACAGGAGAGCAGCCGGAAGGGAATTAGCTAGCCAACACCGGCGCCCCCACCTGACCGTAGCACACAAACACGCCACATTTTTAGTGAGACAGCCGGCCTGGGCTCGCTGCTCCCTGTGCCACACCATAGTGTGTCAGGGAAATAAAATAAAACCGACACACACACGGTCACAGCATGTCAAGAAAGCCATGACAAAGGGGACCAACCACCTCCCCCCGGTCCCCGAGAAGCAAGGCCAAAGACAGACGGCAGGAGAGCAGGCTTTGCTCCATCGGCTCCGGCAGCCTCGTAATCAGAGGCGTTAAAAATTCCCAGGGCGGAGGGGCGGCCTCCATCTGGCCCCGCGCTCCCAGCCCGGCTGTCGCTGGAAGCCGCTCACCTGAGATTTAGAAACCAAAACCTAGTCATGCCCACCCCAACAGTAACCCCCATCAAGGCAGGAAGGCGATTGGGGGGGGGGGGGGGGTTCAGAATCTGAGAGTCACGACATCAACCCGTTGGCCCAGGTATGTGGGCGATGTTCCGGAAAAGTTGAGACAAGGTTGACGACAAGAGAGCTGGGATGGTTTGGACATGAAGGAGAACGTTGTGTTAGACCATCATAAAGAAGCCATTTCAGAGAGAGAGAGAGAGAGAGAGAGAAAGACATCGGACACCTCAGACAGGAAGGGGGGGGGAGTGTGCTCACATTGCAAGTTTGGTACACGTCATTCTGGACGACATTTAATGGAGATTTATGTCATTCCCCCTCCCCAAAAACCCATGGTGAGGATGCTGCGTAAAATCACATGCAAGCCAATCAGTGTCTTTGGCAGTTTTCCAGAGCTGCAGGTCTACAGTCAAGGAAATGGGCTTATTGCAGAGATCCAAGGCGCCCACTGGCTCCGCGTTTAAGCGTCACCTAGACAACCGCGTTGTGTCAAAAAAAAAACAAAAAAAAAAACACACACCCGAAACAGAGTGGCTGCGGTTATTTGGAGAAGAACCAAGAACAGGAGATATTAAACATTTAAAATGCAGGTAGTACATACACAGAGAAAGGTCCCACGGGTCACATGGGTACACAAAGCGGGACTGACGAGTCGATGTCCAATAAAGACACGTCAATAGATGCCAAGGGCCCACCAATCATAGAAGGCCGGTTTTCTTTGTCCCAAAGCTGTCACCGGACATAATGAAGAGAAATACCCCCCCCACAAATGTGAAACGTACCCTGGCGTCACTGTGAATGCCTCCCGTGGTCTTAGAGGGGACTTCAGAAATGACAAGGGGGATGCCCTAGACACAGACAGCGGCAGAGCAGTCACGGGCCCCGGGACCCCCGGACCGGGTCACAGCGGATTAGCCACGGTGCCCTGGAGGCAAGCGGCTGCTCCCACTCGACGCTGTCGCCGTGGAAACAAAGACCGACGCATCTCCCCACCAATAACACTCCCCCCTCTGATCCAGCAGCACCCCCCCCGCCACCCACCAAAACCAGTTCTGTACAGCCTATCGTGGCATCTCTATCAGACAATCATGCAAGAGACAATCCATCCGCCACAACTCTTCCCGACGTTTGCTCCCGATTTAATTAAAAACAATTAACGACACCATGGTAACACGCCAACTCGTCTTCCCAGCCTGTTTAGTCATATTAAATCTGCATTTACGTTTTTAAAAAAAGAGAAGCATCATTAGCTTCCTGGCTCTCTCACACCAAGATCGGCGCATTTTGGCGGGGGGGGGGGGGGGGGGGGGGGGGGGGGGGGGGCGGGGGATTAGCAAGGACGCGTGAGCACCCCTCTGTGACATTTCCACACAGGAGCAAACGAGGGCTTTCAGCGGACGTCCGTCAAGACGACAAAGGTCAGGAAGCTGATGTGACATCGGCCGCGAGCTTCCCGGGGATTATCCTCCGCACGCGTATGCTGCCCCCCCAGCCCCCCCACAGGTATGCAAAACGGACAGAAAACGCCAGAACATGGCCAGTGACTCGAAAGACCACTTTTGACCACCCGGTTCACGTGCCACAGTTACCGAGGCGACGACAGAATATCCGAGAAGCTTCACGTTAAAAACCAACAACGAAAAAACAGCAGAACACCCTCCTACTCGCCGATTCCTTCAACCACGTTATGTATGAATTTAACGGGACAATTATCACTCTAGGAATCTATACTGACTCGTAACTCTGTACAGAGTAATAATTCAAGAAATTCTGGGTCCGACCAGACGAGCTCCACACGACGTGATGCGGACGTCGTCCCCAGCTGACCTGGTGCAGGGATGAAATCTAATCTAATGAGAAAAATCATTAGGATCTACAGCACAGTAGCTGACATTTTGGCTTTGGGGGGGGGGTCTCAGTCTGGCATTCAGACAATGACAGAAACATCCAATAAGCAGGGGTTGGATGATTACAGGGGTGGGGCTCAGTCATCAGGCTGGTTATTCCTTGGAGCTCTTGAAGGCACCGCCCCCCCTACAGCA